TATGAAAAACAAAACAAGTGTTTGTAACGCCTTATTTTCCTATAACCTATTACTTTTTCCAACTTCACTGCTTATTTCGCGGTTAAGAAGACGTCTCGATCCTCGGATTCGATGAATTTACGTCTAAACCTTTTTCCTAATTCAGTATCCCTTTTGAAAACTAGAGTAATCAACAGAAATCAAATATTTTGAAACTGAACCAAAAGCAGTCAGCTCATAACTCGTTTCCAGATATATATTAGGTGGTTCATTTCAAGTATAATGTAAAAAGTAACCGCTTTGTAGAAGTTTGAGCTATTCTGGAATATTAGTACTGTGCTAAACAGAGGTACCTACGAATAATGTGACTGATTTCCAAAAGTATGCTGAATTTTTGTGTTACGAGTTTAAATGACCTGCTACCGATAGCGTGAAATTTGCCAGTTGTTTATTGCTTTATTTTTAAAATTTCTTAATCTCGATCTTTCTTTTCGCTCTGATTTTGCAGAAATTTAAGGGTATTTCCGCTCTTTCCACATACCGTACTGCAGTTACCGTAATAACTTTATTTGTTGCCCGAAAACAGCTGTTAATTGTTTTGTTTGAGTAATATATTTGGTCGACAGTTTAAAAGCATGTAAGAAAAGATAGATAGAACATACAAATAGAGGAGGAAATCAGTCTCAGGTAAAAAATTAAAAAATGTGACTTTCCATAAATAAAGAAGCATTAGAAAATAATTGTGAAAAAAATATTTTTAAAGAAGAAGAAAAAAGAAAAAAAATAGAAAAGGAAAGAGAAGAAAGGAATAGGAGTATTGTAAGTTTTTTTCTATTAAGTATTTCCTGTGGAAAATATCCTATTTTTTTAATGAAAATTGAGGGGAAAGTTTGAGAGTACATATATGTATACAGGCCAATCCATGCCAAATCGCAAATTTTTTTCAATTAGTACTCCAAAACGCTCTCAAATTTTGCTGTTTATAAGAGCCTGCACTTTGATATGGAAGACTGAAGAGATGACTTTGAAAAAGCGAATTCTTTGCCAAGTTATGCCCTCGCAAAGTTATAAAATTTTACTGATTGCTTCTCGACACGCCCGTCATTGAAGACTTGTACTTCAGCTGAACCATGTCAGAAGCTTACCAGTTTTTGGTGTACTAGATTTTCTACCTTATCTAATTTTGAGTGCGTATAATATCTTTTAATGATGTTACATTACTGGGTAGATACAGCAGTTTTCAGTTGAAAATTACAGAAAAAACGTCCTTGTAAATCTTTTGATAAAAACGCGTTTTGTTTGAAACTTTTTGCTCTATGACGTACTGCACAACATATGATGGAATCACGGCATGAATTTATGCTTCTCACTGATCCGAACTCTGTGCAAACCTTGGCAGTAACAGCATTTGCTTTTATTTTTAGTCTCCTAATGAAAAAAAGAACTCGTTTTAACACAATGCAGAACTCTGTTTAGTCCAACTGTACAGATCTTAGAGTAATAGTATTTGCGACAACTTAAGAGAGAAGCCAGTATTCTCCAAAATTTATGTCACTTTCAACACCGCTGTTAGCGATCTGTTGAAGAGTAACAGGTCATGAACACTTTTGCATAAAATATAAATTTCTGAAAGAATTTTTCAACTGTTAAAGCGTATCAGTTGTTTATAACTACATTCCTCGATTATAAGAAGCAGTTGACGTTGATTTCTCCACCACAAAATTCATACAATTTGTGTAAAAACAGTGCATTATTATTCACTTCGTTTCATTCTAGAGTGTAACTCTTAATTTCGCTTAGGAAATATTATGTTGTGGCATTTAATAGAGCAAAAAATTGTGCACAAAGAGCGTTTTTTTTTCAAAAATTTAAAAGGGCGTTTCGCTGTAATTTTTATTTTAACTTCCTCTTTTGTTGTATCTACCCAATTACAGAACATTATTAAAAGACACAATATGCATTCGAAAACAGAGGGTATAAAAATTCAAAAAAACCAAAAATTCTGTCAAGGTTCAACTGAGCTACAAGTCTTCAAAGACAGGCGTGTCAAGCAGCAACCTAGCAAATTTTGAAACTTTAGAGAGACATAAGATGACGAGGAATCTTCTTTTCAAGGTCACCTCTTTGGTTTGTTGTAGCAAGACTCAAGCATTATTAAACAGCAAAACTTGAAAAAATTTTGACTCATCAATCAAAAAAGTTCGCATTTTGGCATGGAATAGTCCTTATATATATGTATTGCTTCGTAGTTTCTTTTAACTTTATTGAGGCAGTTGAAATCGTGAAAGCAGCCCATTAACGACGTGCAACCAGTCAACTCGTCCAGTAGCTTTGCGTAATTGAAAAGCTCCTTCCTCCAAAAAAGTGAGAGAAAAAACATACAAAAATTCTTTGTTAAGAATTACCTTTGTCTACGTCTCGCTCCTTGAATTCCATGGGTTTTTGTCTGTTTGTGGCTGGTGCATAACGTATATTGGTTGACTTCTTACTTTCAATAAGAATTTTTTGCAGTTCTAGAAAAAGCCATGTTAGGCGAATTAAACTGCAAAATAGTATATAGAAGAAATTTCGGCAAAGCTAAATCGAATTAACCTAGTGGCTCCATAGCTTCGTCAGGACAACACACTTCTACGACGCCTTGTTTACAGTAATAACCCAGTGGACAACTGGTCGATTCTGTAAGATTTCCGCAAAGTACAGGGACATTATCACCAAGAGGTGGCTTTCCATTTGGACAAAGTCCTAGCTCATCCTCCAATTGATTTACTTCTGAAAACACAGGCGTCTTTGGCAGTAAGCCATTACATAAGTATTTGAGGTTTTATTTTAAAACTCAGGCTCTTTCTACCCTAAACGCAGCGAATTTTTTGCTGCTTATATCAATTTTCTGTGTGATCTCCCGCAACTGGTCGAAAAATTCTTCTATAAATAGAGCTAGGAAAAGTGAGAAATGGCAGCTTACGTTTTACACATTTTTGTTCGCATTCTAGTTCAGTAGCAAAATTATTTGCGTTGCCTTCGCACCCTCCATAGTAGAACAGTTTGCACTTTTTTGTCTTTTTCTCGAAAAAGTAACGAAGATGAGCCTCCTTACACGGACCTGGATCAACCATAAGCGCACATGGATTAGACTTAATTGGATTGGAAATTGCTGTTGCTCGAACATAATGGCCGGGCATTTCTCCTGAATAGATTATGCTTGTCACAACATATTAGTATGTACTGACTGAAAATTTTTTATGTAATATGTACCATCAAAACGAATCGGTTTGATTACTTGCTCCATTGATACGGGTGCAGTGTCCAAGCTTTGACGCCTTGAACGTTTCACGTCATTACCGAGAGTACGGATGTTGAGCTCGTTACGGATAGATTTGTAGCCGTTCTTTTCTTCATCACCGTTATAGCCTAAGAATAAGTTGTCATTTGAGATCGGCAACAAGAATTGATTAGTAAAGATTTTAGATGTAGTATGCTGCGTTTTAAAGTATATATGTTTTTTGTGCAAGCTTGATCTTATCAACCGATTAATGCAGAAATTGGCTAGCAAGATGGAGGGGATGAGTCGCTTAAGGCTGGGACTTCAAGATTTGCATATATGCCATGGAAAGCTTATTTTATTTGTAAAACGAAAACTGTTGAGGCATTGTATCAATTGAGATATTGAGAAAAGGATGTTTGGCGAAATTGAAGAGCTAGAAATAAAGACAAGAGACGGCAATTTTCTGTAAGAATAGTTCCGTAAGGCACGAAGAGATTATTAAGTTTAGTAAGAAACCTGCATACTGTCGGTTTATTGGGCTGAGGAAAATCCATCTAGGCAATTTCCTACCCAAATTCGTATAAAAGAAGCTGCACTTCAAGCTACTTTTACACAGCGTTTCTATAT